CTTATTAATTGTAATTCATTCATTATTTCATGCTTCTCTTTTTTTTTTTTTTGTTTGATTTTACTTTTTAGGTAGGTTGGTTGTTTTTGAAAATAAAAAAATTGAAAAATTGAAAAATATAAAAAAAATTGAGGGAAAATTATTTACTACAACATGATATATGATTTACTTGAACAATGTATATAATTTACTTTAACATGTATGTTGTTACCTAGTATGAGTTTAATTGATGTGTTGTAACATATTTTTCATTTCTTTATTTAGGTTAATGTATAGTACTTAGTATAAGTTGCTTCATGTATCATCTGCACCGCACACATTATGATCTTGTGAGTAAGTGTTGATATAAATGGTATGAAAATGTATATATGCACAAAGTAAGGGGGAGAAAAAAATAATATACATGAAAAATGAGTTTTATTTATAGATCCTAATATGTATTATTGGTTTGACTTTCATTAATAGAGGAATAAACTTATTTAACAGTGATATTTAGCATATCATTTCTCACAAATATAAGTTTAGAGTCTTGATCACAATGGATTAGTGGCATTTAACACACATGAGCCACTTATACAGTTTACTCCATTTAGACTTGAATTGAGTGTGGGAAAGTTTACTAATCATTGATTATGTTTGTGCATGCTATCAACTGCATCTTGGAGTTATTATATATTGTTGTTACATTCGTCATTTGTAACAAAAAGGAAGAGAGATGATGCGATGCATTTAAATTTTAGTTTATTTTGTAGTGAGGATGAGATTTTTTTGAATGGGAGATGATATTTTTGAATGCTTAGCCTTTTTGAATTTTGATGTTTTATGATACTAATATTTTAGTTGGTGTTTTGATTAACATTATTATTGTTTCTCAATCTAGCTATCATATGATAGTCTGTTTATTATTATATTTCATGTATTAAGTACTTTTACACTTGTTATTTGAGTTATTGATTTCAGAAAACAAGTTTCAAGAAATGCAAGAGATACTCATTCAGTTTGAGTTTGAGTAGATTAATTTTGTTTTTACATCATTAACTTGTATTGTATAATTTTATCACAAAATGCCAAAATGGGAGATTGTTAGGTTTTTAGTTGTATTAGCAATTCTTTAGACAAAATGATTATTGTAAAATAATAGGATAATTTGACTTGATTGACTAAATATCTAGAATAATTAATTAGTGACTTATTGCTTTTAATTGATAAGTTTAATTCCTCTTTATTCACGTATTGGGTGATTTTAGGGTTGAACTAGTAACTTTTAATGAGTATTTACAAATTTTTCTTATATATAAATTAGATTAGGTCAGCCTAACCGATCTTCAAGTCATTTTGCTAGACAGTCAAGTTCATCACACTCATTCATTATGAAGGACCAACTCACGAACCAATTTGAACCCAGGCAAACACATCTCAATTCAATTATTTGAAAGATAAGCCATCTCAAACAAGATTTGTCCAACTCATTATTTCGCATCTTGTTGGTATGTCTACTGACCCAATGCAAATTGCACGCTGTGAACAATATTTAGCTTTTGTTTGGTAGGGATTAATATAAGACAAATTCTGATGAAAAATGATGAAATGTGTAGTTGAAAAGTTATGTATTCCATGAAACACATAGTTCAAATTAATTATTAAATTAAAATCTAAATTTAATCCTTACCAAACAAATAATGCTACTTGTATATAAGTAATTACATAATAATTAATATACAAATGATGTGTTAAAAAAA